AACAAATTTACTTATTTTCTTTTGAGCTTGAAATCTCAGCAGTGTTTAGAAGCAGAGTGAGGATTATAAATGATAATGCATCCCATTTTGTTTTTGTTTATTTTTTAAAAATATTTTATTCATTTTGAGAGAGAGAGCACAAGCAGGGGGAGCTGCAGGAGGAAAGGGAGAGCAGGCTTCCTGCTGAGCTGGGAGCCTGATGAGGGGCTCCATCCCAGGTCCCTGGGATCATGACCTGAGCTGAAAGCAGACACTTAACCGACTGAGCCACCCAGGCACCCCTCATCCCATTTTATTTGGCATTATTTACCCAGAAATCTTTTGATCGTTGCTAGTGAAATAAAAAAATAAAATTATTTTAATTAATAGATGTGAAAATTCAGGTAAAGAATAATAGCATTTGTTAAGGACCTATAAGATAATTTATTCCATATCTCCAGCTGCATATACATTTCAGCCTCAGTGTGTCTATTGGTTCAGTTTCATCAGAGAAATAGAACCAGTAGGATATTCATATTAAGAGATTAGTTGCTAGGAATTAGCTTCTGTGACTGGGGGCTAGGCAGGCTATCAAGAAGGACAAGTTGTACTCTTGGACAAGAGCTGAAGCTGCAGTCCATGAGCAGAATTTCTTCTTCATAGAAGCTTCAGTTCTGCTCTTAAGACCTTTACAAATGATTGAATCAGAATCATCCACGTTATCTAGGATAATCTTCCTTACTTGAAATGATTATAGATCTTGATCATTTATAACAATATACTTTTATAATACCACCTACATTAGTGTTTGAGTTTAAAAACTATAGCTTAGTTGTGTTGACTCATAAAACTAACCAACGCAGTGACCTAGTAACAATACTGGTTTTTACGCACAGAATTTGTATTTGTCAGTTTTACTATCTAAATATTTATTTAGATATTATATTTAAAAAGTGATGAGCTAGTCTCATTTTTATTGTAACAAAAGAATGATGCAGTAACTGTATTCTAATAATCTAACACACAATTTACCTTTCTTTCTCTTAAGTTAAAAAAAAATTTATTTAAATCTTTCTTCTAGTCCCTCTCCTGATTCAGCTCCTTTATTATCTTTCTTGCTTAATATCGTACTCTCTTCAGTTTCTTAGCATTGACTTAAAACGTACAGTTCAGGCTGTATTTACACTACAGTGATACTTGGCATTCATCAAATATTTGTTAGAAGAAAGATTATTTCACAGTTCTTGTATGTTCTACTCTTTAAAGTTCATCTTAGTGTCACATTTGTTTTTTATAAATAATGCCACTACATTGTTGACTTATATTTGGCACATTATGATTCCCAGATACTTTTGTCATATTTTGTTCTGTGAAACTATATTGTTTTTATAACAAACAGAAGTTATTTTCAAACAGTGGTTCAGAGTTTCACGATGAAGACTCTCTAATGATTTCTTGAAAAAAATGGTTCATATTGGAAACATTGTTTTGGTGTACATTCCATTACCTTTGGGAGAAACTTTGATATTTTGCCAAGGATTATGTCTCTGCTGTATTAAAATAATGCGTCAGAGTTCCATAGAATCCTGAAGCTTTGGCAAACTCTGCTTTATGATATTTTGAAGGAGTTTCCAGAAGAAGCCTGACAATTTTTTTTCTAAATTATTTTAAGCCTGACAAATTAGGGTAGTGCCAAATACTTCAGAAATCTTTCATGGGTGTGGAAACTTATGAATATCCAACTTAAAATTATAAATTAATGGAACATGCACATTTAAATGAATTCTGATGTTTTTGTTTTATATTAAAATCAGCACTATTGAGGTATTATTATGCCTAGTTTACAATTTTTTTTACGGCAAAATTTTTTTTTACGGCAAAATACTTCCAAAATTTGACCCATGCCAAGTTTATAATTTTCTACATAGGACAGATCTCTATTTAGATAATGACTTATCATGTAAGACTCTTACTCATTTCTAATGGTTACATCATGGCTTTGCTCAAGTTCATTTATTTAACAAGTATTTTTATATAAGATACTTATATGTTTGAGGTGCCAGTTCTAGACACTGATGATACATTTGGAACAAGACCTGTATGTTCCTGCCATCATGAAACATGTAGTGGAGAAAAAAGACATTAAATAAAAATGTATACAAATCCGTAGAGTTGAAGTAAGTTCTATGGAAGAAAAGCACGGTGTAGAATAGATTATCTTACAGGAGGAGCAAATTGATTTGGGGATACCAGTAAATTGTTCCTTATGGAAGTCATATTTAACCAAGGAATGAATAATAATAATAATAGCAAATACTTAGATTGTGATTGTTATGTGCCAGGCACTATTCTTGATCCTTATTATGTGTTAACTTATTTCAACCTAACAACAACTCTATGAGGTAGGTGCTACTGTTTTCCTCATTTTATAGAAGAGGAAACTGTGGTGTAGAAAGATTAGCAAAGTTCTCCAAGGTCACATAGGTAATGAGTTGTAAACCTGGGATTTGAGCTTAGACAGAAGAGTCTGTGCTCTTAACCACTGTGTTTCATGATAAGAGTTAGCTGGGAGAAGGGAATGGGGAAGATCATTTCAGGCAATATGAACCCATGTGCTAATACCTTAAGCAAGATGGGGGAGGGAAGGCCAGCATGACTGGAAGTTGGTAAGCCAAAGTAACAAAAGATGAAACTGGAGAGGGAGTTAGGGTATTCGGATTTATTATTATTTTATTACTTCAACTTTAGTATGAATATATGATGGAAGGTAATAAGAATTAATGTGAGATCAGTTAAGGCACATTGTACTGTCATATTAAGAGGACGCTGACTTGGACCCACTTTGTGGTGGGTGGAGCAAACTACAGATTGTGGAAACATTTGGGAGATAGAAATAGCAGGACTTTTTGTTTGGATTTGAGAAAGGGAGATTACTCCTAAGTTTCTAGCTGATGCAGCTGGACAAGATGGTGGTACCATTTACTGAAATAGCACTCAAGAACAGGTTTCAGGAGCAAAGTATAAGTTCAGTTTGAGTTCTGTCAAGTTTGAGGTGACTTTTATATTAGGGTGAGAAATTATCTATAAAAGCCTGGAATGCAGAAGAGAGTTCTGGACTTGAAATAAAATTTGCAGATTTTCAGCCTTGGGAGTAAATGAGGAGAAAACACAGTATGAAGACCCCAAATCAAAGATAGAGGAACTAAAAGCATTTCAGTTAGGGTAAAGGAGATGCCACTGTACAGAGGAAACTGAGGAGAGGCAGCCAGATAGGTGATAGGAAAACTGACATAATGTTGTAAGATGAAAGCAAAGGAATGCAGCAGCTTCCCATTTGGTTCCCATTTGGTTTTCTGATTGTATTTGCTTTTTCCTCCTAGAACTTCACAGTTGTACACAGTTGCTTCAAGTTCAACTTTGTGTGTTTTTTTCTTTATTGAAGAACTGATTTTCTTTCTTATTCTCTTTTTCCTTTCTTTCTCCTCATTAAAAGTTCTTTCAAATTTAATTTTAAGTTCCTGTTTAGATCACTTGGAGTCTTTCATCTGAAAGTGATCGCTTTCATTTAGAGCATTTTTAGTTTTTCTGTTTCAGATCATTCTGTATAATGCTACCATCTCAGATAGTTTCAGCTTCCAAAATTTGACCCATGCCGTATACTGCCCTCCTACCTCACATGATTGCCTGTGTACCATGGTCCTTCATTCATCTCTACTCCCACATGCAAGACCATACCTTGAGCCAGTTGTTACTGAGTGTTGTTCCTTTTGCTGGATCTCCTACTCTGGAATTCTCCTTTCCCATCTCCTGTTCTCTCATTTTTTCTACCTTTCCTACTTTTCATTTTCATCAAACTTCTTTGCAATGATCACTATTCCCAATCTCTTTGCACTCTTACTTCTTTGTTTTATCCTAGTCTGCCATCTATATTTTGTGTTCATCTTCTTCCTTATCTAACTTAAAACCCATTTTGCATAGATATTCACAGAACTCCACAATTTCTTTTAAACCTCTGATCTCTCCTGAAATAACCTTATCAGATTCCCAACCACTTATAAGCCCAGTTGTACTTTTCTCTCACTCCTCTTACGTGCATTCATTAAAAAAACAAAAACAAAAACAAAACAAAACAAAACAAAATTGGGAGGGGTGCCTGGGTAGTTCAGTCTGTTCAGCATCTGCCTTCTGCTCCAGGCATGATCTCAGGGTCCTGGGATGGAGCCCCACATCAGGCTCTCTGCTCAAAGGGGAGCCTGCTTCTCCCTCTCCTTCTGCCTGCTGCTCCCCCTGCTGTACTCTCTCTCTCTCTGTTTCAAATAAGTAAATAAGATCTTTAAAAAAATTTGTCAGATAATGTGTTAAGTCATTAGGGATAACCGATGAGGAAAAAAGTATATGGTCTGACCCTCAGAACTGTGCTATCTTATTCTTAGTTAATCTGTTGGAAAATAAAAATGACATCATAATATTGATGGTGCCCACCAAAATTTTATATTATTATTTAATCTCAGCAGGTCCCATGATGTTACAAATAATCCCAAATCAATTTTCTGTTCTTTCTTCATGGTCATGATTAAGAACATTTCTACTTTTCTCAAGTTTCTAAACTCAGTTGCAAAACCTTGTGTTTGAACTAGACTGCCAAGACAATTTGTCCCTAGCTCCCAATTTCCCCTTCACTTCAAAATTTCTTTATATCTTCATCCAAGCTTTTCCTTTTCCTAATATGTGTCAGAAGAAGGGTCGCTTCTTTCTTCCGAAGGTAAAACTTTCCATCTGTTTTTCCTGATGCACATGGGAAAAACTCTAGACAAAAACACAAGATGACATGAAATTGTTATTTAATGTGTTGTTTTATTATACATTTATTCTGTTGTACAGATATGGTAATTATGTAGTTAATATAGAGTTTGAAAAACTATAGTACTATTAGTACTGTAATATCTTTAATGGACTATGTTATTTTGTTATTAAACATTTTGTTAATCAAATGTAAAGTGGATTTGCTTTGTTTTATTCAGAAAGACTGGTGGTGGTAGCTGAACACTGTGAACGGAGTCTAGAAGACTTGCTTCGAGAGAGGAAACCCTTGAGGTACTGTGTAATATCAGGACAATTAAATGAAAAGCAGAAATTGGCAACAAAAAAGCATAACAAGAAACTGCAGAGTTTTCGTTTCTTCTGTTACTTATTTAATGATAAAATCCAGGTGCAAATTTTTATTTTAGGAAATTTAATTCACAGGCCCCATAGAAATTCAACATTGACATCGTCCAGCATTCAGTTTTTGTGAGGTAGGCATTCTCCAAAGTACTTGACAAAAAAAATTCCTAAAGAGGATATATATGAAAATTTGAAATGTTTTCAGTACTAAGCATTTCTCTAGTTGAGATTAAGAGTATTTTCCTGGGAGTGGTACATAGTAACTACTAACAGGATGCTGGCATTCCTAGGGACACAGTGAACTGTTTTAAGGAAAGGCCATGTTGCAGAGTAGAGAGAAATAATATTCATAGCTTAGGTAGAATCTAATGATACAGTTTAAATTCAATTATTTCAATGACTCAGTAATTTTACTTTCTGTCTCAGGCATTCTTGGCAAGAAGAGTATGTGGTATATATATTATTACAGATATACTACTAAATGAATTTCTTTATACATTTTCTGAAATTATCTTAAAATCATGAAAAATATCCCTTTAATGAATAAAGAAAGTTGTACTAAGCCAATGAAAATGGCTTGCCATGAGTCTTTTTAGGATTATAATTATCCATCCTCTTTTAAGGAAATATTCTCATTCTTGGTCATTGCTTTTTAATCACTGCTATATCCTAGATGAAAACAAATTTTTTTCAAGGGAGGAAAAAATGTGTATATTGCTAAATGGTAGTTATTTAATAAAAGCAAAACAAACTGAATAAAAATACTTCCCTTGATACTTTAAAAGATTTGGTTTTAAGTGTTCTCTAGAATGGGAGATTCAGATACCAAGTATACCCACCTTACTTGCTTCTTTGGAAGAGTCTAATCTGACCATATGTAATAAAAGTGACTTTTCTATATATTTAGAAATAGCTTAACCTTATGTAGTGAGTATGTTTTTATAATTATAATTTTTACATGTCTCAATCTTTGACTTTGTGTTTTTAAGAACATTATTCTGTTTACTAGTTCTAGAATGATCAAAACTTATGGTGATAGTTATAAAAACAGTGTTCAACTCTGTTTGGGGGAAGGAGTAATACAAGAACTTAATCAAAATAGCCTTGAGGAAACTATCTGGAGTAATGGAAATTTTTTACATCTTGGTCAAGGTATTACTTATGTGGTGCATGTTCTTGCTAAACTTTTCAAAATTCACTGAAGTACACACTTCAGATGTGTGCATTTCACCTATGTAAATTATTCCTGAATTAAAAAAAAAACAAAAACGAAACCCTCATCTGGTATTTACTTGGCTTGGGTTCTAAATCCCTCATATAGCAACGATATTATGTTGTTAATGAAGGAACTTGATCCAATTGCTTACCTATTTGTATTTCTTTCTATTAGAAGAAATAGTATGAATTAGTTGTGCTGCTTAACCAATACCTCACCACTTAGTGGTTTAAAAACAATATTTATCATTTCGTATAATTTCTCTGGGTCAAGAATACAGGAATGAATTAGCTAGATGTTTTTAACTCAGGATCTTATGAGGTTGCAGTCAACTGGGGCTGTCATCATCTGAAAGCTTCACAGGCTGGATGAACTCACTCATTTGGTGTCAGTTGTTGACAATAAGCTTTAATTCTTCCCCATCTTGAGGGCCTTTTGACACTGGTCTCTTGTCTATCCTCACAACGTGGGGTTGGCTTCTCTCAGAGTGAACAAGGTATTGAAGCTTCAATGTCTTTTATGACCTACCCTCAGGAACCACACACCATCATTTCTGCAATTGTCTTAATGGATACAGAAGTCAGCCATTAATTCTATTCACTGTGGAGGGGTCCACATAGGAATGTGAATCTCAGAAGTCAGGGGTCATTGGGGATCACCTCAGAGGCTGGCTATCACAGAAGTCTTAGTGATCATACAGGTACTTAAAAGGAAAAAAAAAAAAAACAGGAGTGAAATACTAACCAACATTAACACTAACTGAAAAATAACCAAAGTTCTTAAAATTATTCAGTATTGATTTAGGCTACTTGAGACAGAAGAAAGGAAGATATTTACACTGTGAAGAGAAGGTAGAGTATTAAGGGAATATCTAGAAGTACTAAAGGTGGAATACGGTCTTCATGGACGTGGCTATACTAAGATCAGAATCGATCCAATTCTGAAAGTTGATGTTACCCATGGGCTTGTGCTCCCAGCCATGCTGAAGGACCCTATAAGCTACAACTAGAGTAATTCTCTGGTCATCAGGGTGGTAGTAACTATAGAATGTTCCTTCTGATCTTGAAATTTCCCTCTCTGCCCATACTTGTCCTTCCTTTGCTTACTAAAAGAACTGAGGCATAAGAGAGAAGCTGGTGACTCAGAAGACAAATTTCCATTTTCATCATTTTACCTCAACTCCTTTTACTTTTTTTTTTTTACTTTCAATTGTTCTATGTAAGGATACAATTGATACTGCTTTGCCAATAAGATTAAATCCATTAGCTTGTGGAAAGTTTTACTTTTCTGTGTTTATCATCCTTTATCCTTGTTTTAGATATAAATCTGATAGCACTGAACACTAGTAGTGTCAATAGTATGAAGGTGTAAAGAGGCCACCTTTCTTCAGTATGTCTTCATGAAGATAAAATCTTACAGATGGAAGCATATTCTTTGAGTATATAGATAAACATGAACAGGATTAAATGCAAATTTCATATTGTCTTTCATGCCATTTACATTTCTAATAGTCTTTTTCATTTATATAAAATAGGACATATTACTGTATGTTTTTATGGGTCTTCGTAATTTCTTCAAGTAAGATACATTTAAACATTTTTGTAAGTAAAGTACTATTTTCTAATCCTTCTGGTAACAGACTAAAATTCGGTATTTTCCTCATTCATTTTGGAATATAACATTCAGCCCTTACTGCCTTTGAGTAGACATGATTCTGTCAGGTTCAGTTCCAAGTTGTTATCTGATCCATCCATCTAAATTAGCTTTGTCGAAAACTATTTGACTTTCCACATATTTGGATTACATTAGTCTCCAGTAACAGAGCACATTTCATGTGCAGAGTTGCTATGCTGTAATTTTAATTAATTCTATAACCTGTTTATGGAAAGTGAGAAGATGTTCTTATGGCTTATAAATCATATACATTTCCCCTACTGCCAAAAGTAAGCACCCCGCACCTGTAAGAGAGGCTGATGCAAAGTAAACAGGAAATCTATTTAGATGGGCTTGCAGTTTGAGACCCATGATTTTTACTTGTCCATCTGTCTCTAACTGTTGTAAAACTGTAAGCTGCCAGTTGTCTGGTAGTTATTTGCAGCTCATTGTCTAAACTTAAACATCATCCAAGGCATATGTCTTACTGGATTTATATTTTGAAGAAAATTTAACTTGTAAAATTGGTGAGACGGGGAGTGGGGAAATGAAAACTAGAAACTTATAGAAGCATTTAGTGTCAATTTACTCACTTTTTTCATAACACATTTAATATCATTGAACTAAGCAATATTGTACTAAAACCTCATAGTAGTAATTCATATTACAAATATAACGTAAGACTATCTTGAGGTTTCAGATCGCTCTAGAAAACCAAGCATCTTTTTTTTTTTAAACATTTTAATAGCCCTAAAATTCTTTTGAGAATTCATGTTATCCAAACAGAAAGTAATGATTTTGTGCTATGACCTGGAAGTATTTATCAAGTCAGTCTCTTATAAAATAATGTTATTTGTACAGATAGTTTGCTGATCTGGTTTGAAAGAGAAAAGTCACCATTTTCTTTGTAGTTTATTCAAGCTTGAATATGAGGAATTAGTTTTTGGAGAATGCAGCTCTCTTTTCAGTGGCTTTTTTATGTTGCTTGTGCCAGAGTTTGATCTTCCCAATATTTCTCTCCACTCTCAGTTAAATGATCAAAATTATTTGTTGGAAACATAGAAGCATGGAATTCAGTTAAACTCCTATAACCAGTAGGTTTCAAGAAACAAAGTACAGCATTTGGAAGATTTGTTTGAAGTCATCTCATATTTGGTGCCTGTGAATCTATTTAATTGCTACCCTAAAGCCATATTCAAGATACTGAAAGTGGGGAAATTTAAATCTCAACTCCTTTCTGAAATATTTTCCGAGAATGTTAAAAAGAGAGACATACCTTCATCACTTCTATTAAAGCAAACATGAGGAAATGGTTTGCCTTTTAAGTCTAGGTGCTCTTTGGAAAGTATTTCCTTTTTGTGTTAGTGTTATTCAGAGCATGTACTTTTGCCTAATCTGTAACAGTGTCAGCAAGTGTAGTTCATAGACAGATATTCAGCAGAGTTTTGGCACTTGGAGTAAAGTTTCTGCCTTGTCCTTAAATTTGCAAGTGAAGGCAGGGTGAGTAGTGCAGGCATGTTTCTTTAATAAAATGTTTGTCATATGTTTTTAGGGTTATGGTTTTGAAGATTTACCAGAGAACCATCAGCATAGCATAGGTTATACATGGTTATACATGGAGACTTTGATGGGAAGCAGGCTATGTCTGCAGCTGTTCACTAGCTTGATGGGAAACATAATCTGACTTACTTGGATGAGTAAGTTTTACTTGCTCCTATTAAAAGATTGCCTACTCACTGAATTAGATACTCCAAAGAATTTTGGACACATTCTAGAGTGCAGTCTATAGATGGATAATGAGCCACAGGTCTCACAGTCATCAGAAATGGATAGTAGATATTCTTATTTTAGAAAATAACCTGATAGTGGAAGTTCAGGTTCTCGTACATTTTTTTTTCTTTAAAGGGCCTTAGTTTCAAAATTCATTTGAAATTATTTTAGTGTGGTCAAGTAACTTAGAGATTTATACAACTGATGAATATTTTTCTTCCTATCTTACTTGTTTAAGGATGGAAAATAATACTATAGATGCTCTTACTCAGGCTTGGAATCTTGCAACTAT